CACACACACACACACACACACAAAAAGTATGTATGTATGTATACTGGGATCAGGTCCAGGGTTTAGCATAGAATTTTGATTTCAAAAATAATCTGCAGGCTGAAAACCCATGTGTGAAATCTGCCCTCTAGTGGATTTCTCAAACAAGTACCAATTAAGAAGTTTTTGTATTTTTACAAATATGATTGTGTGTGTGTGTGTATATATCATATTTGTAAAAATACAAAAACTTCTTAATTGGTACTTGTTTGAGAAACATATATATGTATAAAATGTGCTCCCTTCCCCAGGGTATAGTTACAGCACAGTTCAACCACAATAAAAAATTAGCAAATAAAAAAAGTTGGGATCTAAAACCATAAAATAATTCCAACTCAGCACCATATCTTTATCAAAATGTCTGTCAAATATTGAATGTAAAGGAAGGAATTAAGCATAGTAGTATTAAAATATTGTATAAGCCTCAGGCAATAAAAATGGATGAATACAGAGAGGAGTGAAGAAATTCTAATCTAATTCTACAGAAGCAAGTTACTTCTTGGAAAAACAGCACAGAGTGATTATGCCTACTATGACTTCACATACAGGCTTATTTCCCCAATATTTTATTCAGTAAATACATACCTCTGTTGATGTCCCTGGCCAGACAGGAGGAGATCTGGAAAATTCTTATATTGTAGCTCTATTCTCCAAGCCATTTTAATTATACAATACTCATTATTTTTGCTTAAAAAACATATATCGTTTTACCTAAAATTCCTTTGCAAGGCTGTTACAGCTTTTGGAAGCTGCCTTAATCTTTTTCGTGTCTGAAATCCTCTCCAAAATGCCTGGATTAAGCAAGCTGCTTGATGCAGTCGCTGAAATTAACAAATTGGAACATATTCATTTTTCTTTTGCATGTGGTGCTAATAATTAGACAGCTGTACACATTAGGAAATATATACTAATATTCTCTATAAGCCTTTATTTGATGTGACAATTTACTAGCCTACATTCAAACCAAGGTATAATCTAATCCGAAGGAGAGCTGATCCAGGCTTGGAGATATGGCAAATTCTCTACGAAGAATTAAGATCACAATTTCAGAACACTTCTATACTAGCTCTCCCTCACATAGCCACCTTCCAGTTACGTGAACAGGCTAGAAGCAATGAAACACATGAATACACTGATAAATCGAACACAGGCTACCTCCACCATACACAGAATTCTATAAAACATCCAGTATACCTGTATTTGACCAGCATTGGAGTTTTCTGCATCCAACAAGTCCAGAAACTGATTGAGATTCTTGTCAAATCCTTTGCCAGTCCACTGCTTGCTTAGAAGAGTCTGTAGTCCTTAATAAATAAGATGTGCTGAGATAAATATGCCAGTCCGTAAAAAAAAGTGCTTGTTTGTTCATCTGACAGAGGTTGATTATAAATTACTAGAGGTACGAATACCTAGATGAGAGTTAGAAATTTCCACGCTAAATATACCAGTGGCAAGAAGGAGCCAAAGCTCCAAAGAAAAGCTTAAATAATTAATGGATTCATCATACAGGACGCGGTAACAAAACTCATACTGCCTCTAGCCAGTTGAAGTCTTTTAGAGCATGAATGATCCATACTTGTGAGTGTACAAATACGACAAATTTCCACATGCAAACATACAATGGACAGGCCATAAAATGCTGTGTTGAAACAATGTTTCGCCTTTATAAATCCACTGAGAATAATTTTTCCTGAATAAATATAGTGCATGCATTGGTCATGTATTGAACATGTGTGAATATAAATAAAAAAGCAACACACATAAAAAAACACAATAACACATAATAAAAAAGAACACAATACACACATGATTACTTACAGTCTCTTGCAAGAAAACTACATACAAACTCAGATTTACTTAACTCGCAAGTTTGCTGCCTTGATGTAATATGGAATCGTCCAACTGAACGGAGTTTTACTTCGATAAATAATATATCTGCTATTCAAATCACTGTTTGAAGGGGCTGCACTAAACTTAAGAGCCAGTGTAATGATTAAGGTGCTGGGCTAGAAACCAGGAGGCTGTGAGTTCTAGGCCTCCCTTAGGCATGAAAGCTGGCTGGCTGATTTTTGGCTACTGACTCTCAGTCCAACCTACCTCACAGGGTTGTTGTGGAAAAAATAGGAGGAGTATTAGGTATGTTTGCCACCTTGAGTTGACCAAAAATATTTTTTTTTTAAAAAGGTGGGATAAAAACATTTAAGTAACCTGAAATAATTATGGGAAACTCTAAATAGTAACTCAGGAGAGTGCTAACACAAAAGGAAAATTTATTTTATACTCATCAATATTGTAATCCTGAAAGTTAGCTAACCAATTTCAGATAGGCTTTATCTTGAGAAAGATACTAAGTCACTTGAGGAACATATGAAGACATCTTTAAAATTCCTACTTAATCACGAACAAGGAACTGCTGATTCATACATATGGCTCAACTGCAGTTTGATACATCTTTAGCTTGGTTGGATGATTGCCTGTCAGATACACCTTAAGACATCAGCTATCTTTGAATGTCACACTGAGTACTAGTGCATGCACTTTCATTTGGCTCCTCCTGTCGGAGGTCACAATTCAAACCACAGACTTTTCTGGATCTGATTAACCATTCCAGCTGGGAGAAAGACTAACAGGACTGGCATATGTTGATTTACAATTTGATCAGAATTAGAAAAAGTGTTCACTTAATATGATTCTAGCTGTTAGTACTGGACTAAGACCAAGCAATCATGAGTTCAAGTTCACCCTCAACTGCAGAAGTTCACTTTGCAACTCTGGACCAGCTACTTAGCTCAACTACCCCTCAGATAATGGAATAATTAGAAGTTGGAGCTATGTTCTGATGCACGGAACAAAGATGAAAGGCAGAATATAAATTTATTATGAATGAATGAATGAATATGCCCACTACCTTTCCTACAATGTGATTATAGTATTATAAGATGTATATAAGTATTATGTACATCAATTATAAATATTTTACCATAAATAGTGCTAGATTCCATGACAGGACTTCACCCATAATATTCACTGTTTCAAAATGTACACAATTAATACATTTTGCAATCAATAACATGAGTGCTAGGTTGGAGAACTGATACATGTAATAAACTATTTCAATTACAGTTAATTTCTCCATAAGGAATGTTCAATGCCAACATTTATTATTCTAGAATTTTTTCAAAATCCAAAAAAAGTTGACAAACCTTTGTAGCGGGCAATCATTGTTGTGACAAGTTGGGCATCAGATTCTGTGATCACAAGTAACAGTTTAATAGTTGCATTTCCTCTGGCAGGGTGCGTAGTAGAGGAAATCTTGTAAACGAGTTCATCCAAAAGGAAATGTAGGGCTTTTTCAGTTACTTGAACTAATGCTTTACTGAGAAGACAACAAAGAGATGAAATCATACTGGAATAAAAATGGTGGATAGGAGATGGGCAGGACTGCAAGAACTACAACCACATTGTATATAAAAATGCACTAATTCCTTTAAATGAGGCTCTACCAACCTGACAGTCAGAGGGCTCCAATGTAATCACAGGCCATTTCTTTGATGCATGTCAGGCTCCCCACCCCATCTGCCTTTTGCATTTTAAAAAACATTATATTAAAAAAATGAGAAGGTGCCATGCTGCAAATGGGTCCCACAAGCATCCTTCGAACATAGAAATAATGGGTTGCTGCAGATGCCTGGCGCTTCACTTGGCAATGTTCTAAACTGGTTCCCAAGGGCTACACTAAGAAAAAAGAATAGGAGCATCTCAAAGACAGCACTGGCAGGAGCATTTTTTTCAGCTGGTGCTCTGAAACTGGCGGCAATATGTCCCTGCAATAATCATTTCATAAATAGGGAAGCACCTCTCCCAGCACTCATTTTGTGAAAGCATCCACATGTTTCCAATATTCCAAACATGTCCACCAGTCAAAGTAGTGGAGGACGTCTGCTTTAAACTATGACTGTAATCCTGTATCTCTGCTTTAGAATGATGAATATGAAATTATGAGGATGAAAAGCTGATCAACCTAGAGAAATTATTCTTATTTTAAGATGAATTTCAATCCATTTTTTTTAATGTTAAAGATACAATTTAGTAAATATTTACCTATTGGTCCTTAAAATATTCTGCAGGAGTGTCAGAATCACAGTTGATGTTTCAGCATCATCAGTTGTCAGCAATTGCTGGAAGTGTTTATTCTGAAGCACTAAGGCAAAAACAGGAAATCTATTTCAAGCAGAAGTGAAATCTATGCTTAATTGTTTTTCAGGGGAGGAGAGTGGGAACTAACAGCAACCCTCTAAATGCAGATCACAGGTGAAATATTTGATCAGAGACCACAACAACATTCATACACAATAATGAATTTCCAGGCTTTTCTTCCCCTACCATTTTCTACTAGATGAATGTGACCTCCACACAACCAACAGATGGCATCAGTTACTGTCCTGAAACAATGTAGAAATTCATTTCTTTCTTCATCCTTAAAGAAAACATAAAGGAAAACTTACAATTAAAATCTCTCAAACACATAGATTAAACAGTGATTATACCCTCAAGCTGTATTTGCTGAACAGATAATATTCTTCTAAAACTGGGAAAGGGTGGGTGGGGAGCAGGACTGGGAGAAACGTAAGTTACAATGCAGACACAATAACAGAAAAAGAGAATAACTTCTTCCTTTCTTATTCTGAAACTGCTCCAACCAAATATAATCTGTTTCTTTGCAGGATCCAGCATGTCTTTTAGTGAACTTAGTGAACTAAACTAAGTGAACAACTAAGTGAATAGTGAACAAAAATGTACTGTATATCACAATGATCTTAAAAAATTGGAATATTGTGTATTTTTACTCTTCCTGAATTGGTACCCTCAATATGCTTTGGACAGCAACTTTCTTGATTCCTATTAGTAATGATACTGAGGTTGATGAGAGATGTAGTCCAAATTAGGTTTAGGAAAGCTGATATATAAAATTAAATTAACAGATCTGGTTAAGTGTTAGGGGAGGAAGAAATGTTAATGATAAATCAATTGGAATACTTTTATGTTCTGGAATTGGAAGCTGCAGGACTCTGTACAGCCATAAAGTAAGTGCAGTGTGAGGATTTTGTGAAATCTATTATTTTGTATGTATTTTCTGGGTATTGAAAATGAAGTGAATTATGTTGCTTTATTAGTTTCTGTTCTTTGTTTTATCACAAAAATGCAAATATATGGGCAGATTCAATTGTTTGAAATTACAGTATTATATATCAAGTAGTCATATTGCTTGAAAATATAAGTACGGATACATGGCAAAAAGAATAAAAACACATAAAGAGACAACAGCAGAACGTCTGCCTTGGCGATGTTAACTGCGGCATCAGTCTACAACCAGAGGCAGGTCTAATAATTGCCACAATTCAGTGTTCTTTGTTCCATTACTCTGAATAAATGATTAATGAAGCTGTGTGCTGATGCATTCTCAAACTAGCCTAAGTTCAACATTTTCCTAGTCCCCATTATCAAGCAGAGTATTATCATGCGTTATCAGAAAGGGACCATGCACTGCTTTGATAACAGTCTTGAGTCCTGACTCCACAGAAAGTATGTCTTGGGTATGTAGTATACAAACTCAGTGTCACTTATGCCAGGAATCAGAAGAAGTGGGAATCCTCCCCTGCCTAAATCAACAATTTTGTACATTAATATGTCAAGATATTACAAAATGGCTCAAATACCTTGATTGCCCGGACAAATCGTGCATGTAAACGCCTTCCCAAGAAGAGGAGACTGTCTGTAGCAGAAGGAAGCAGCTTATTATAAAACTCCTCATGTTCTGTTTTCACCTCAAGACCAACACAACACTGACTGAGAAGAAAAAAAAAAAATCCCCCCTGTAGTTTGCAAGTAGTATAGCCATAGGCTAATTCAGAGCTACTAGAGCAGTTTAGGACTACACGCTGTATTTTTACCTTAATATCTCTGCTATCTGGGCAGCAGTAGTCCAGCCTCCAGGCACTTTTGTATAATCTTGCTTAAGGACTAGTAGACAGTACTGAACTAGATCACAATAGTATAAGTCTTGTTTAATCTTCTTTGATTCATTACTTCCAGGGGATGCACTCGTTAAAATTTCTAAGAAGAAAAAATTAAACTGCTTAGGTTTTGATCCCTCTACAGATAACAAGTACTGCAGGCTGCAAGACAGGTCAAAAGGGAGCACAGCAAAAAACTACAAAATAAGATTATAACAATCTGGAACATCAGTTACTAAAGTGGAGGCAACTGGTTGCTAGATAAAATATAAAAATAAGCTATACAATTCACATCAAAAAGGCTTACAAGTTATTTTAGAGAAAAAAGGAGGGTAGTCAAAAAATCAAAAGGATGGTATCAATGAATCAAGAGGCAGTAGAAATGCAAATAAATAGTGTTTAGTCAAAGAAGAAATGAACATATATGAACAGTATCCACAATATTGTAATATGAGAATAAGTCTGAGTTGGAATTCTGGTAATCAGAGGGTAAGACTTCTGCACAGCTAGAAGGAACCAACTTTGGCTATAACTTCCTTTACTGGAAAGCAGCCCTCTAACAACTGACAGTTCCTCTAACCGAAATGATACTGTGGTTTATTCTGGCCCATTTTGTTTATAGTATTTACATAAGATGCTTACCATGATTAAAATAACCCTGATTTACATAATTCACCTGATTTTCTAGGTTTGTGTGGTATTCTGAACTATAAATTCACCATATGGACTGAGTTTGCACAGCACAGCTAAACTGTGGCTGACCAGTTTATTGTCAGTGTATTAAGCCAATATGTGTCTGATCTGCTAACAGATCAGATACTAATTCTTATCAGAAGTCTGGTATACTTTTTCTGAGTAAAAATTTTATTCATGAACTGTAGCTCACTTCATCAGATGCATGGAGGTGATCAAGCTTATGGCTTTTAATAAAATGTGTTAGTCAGAAAAGGTGCTACCAAATTCCTTCTAATTTTTCACTATCACATGGCTCTCCTTTTACATAATTTGTATGTAGCTCTCCTACATAATTGACTCTCTTACATAATTCCTATCATACAATTCTTTCTTGGAAGACTTAAAGGCACATAAACTCACTGTAATTCTTACCCCATGATTAATTTAGGGATCAGAGTGTCATATGAATCATTACTTGTTATAAAATAAGTGCATTCTATTGAATAAGAAACATGAATAGCTTCTGCTTCTGCCCTTTGATTTCCAAACTTAACGCCTGAAGCATTATTTTTTCCCCTTTTCCTTATTTGCCTTCCAGCATCTCATGTCCTGCATAACAATATTTTGTAAATACACAAAGCATCAAGATTGATCATGTAAATTAAAAACACATATCAAAATCAGATTATTCTAATTTAAAACAACAGGGTTAGAAAAATAGAGGTTTATGTATCCATAGAGGGTTTTTATGTCAACCTAACTTTTTAAAAATATTTTACAAGTAAAATCTTGAGCAAGTCTACGGTCCCCGTCCAATACTACTTTCGTTCTTATAGCTGTTGTATTGAAAAGATTCACAACCACCTCATAATTCCCATAGTGATCAAGTCTTTCTTCTCTGCAATACCAGAATCTCTTCTCTGTATGTACAAATGTCCTTTCCAGAAACCCCAACGGAAAGACCTCAGTAACAGAATACTGAACTTGACATTCAATCATGGCACAGCAAGCTCAGCACATACAACATTTTAGTTTTACCTTATGGTGCTGTGCCTAAAGGATCCTAATCAATTTACCTTTTAACTTTAGCAGCAACACAGGAATATCCTGATCAGGGCTTTCAGTAATCTGAGCAGTCAGTGACAATATTCTAGAATCCACAGGAAGTGGCTTCATTTCACATAACATTAACTACAGAAAGAAAGGAAAAAAGCCAAACAAGATAATTATCTTCAGTAAGGGACAACACCACTGGTATTTTATGGCAAGCAACAGCTTAAGCAAGATGCAATAAATAGATTTCATCTAATAAAATTCACATCAGATTTCCATGGAACATATATTTTAACAGAAGCCAATTTTAATATCAAATTCATACACTTTACCCTTTCTACTAAAATATATCTTCCTTCATTAATAGCAACACTGGTTCTGATATATTTTTATCTCATTAGTATAAATCAAAGGCTAGGGTTCTATGTTCACTCTCAGGCATATATATATTTTGTGCACTTTGCAGATCATAATCTCCAAATGCTATGTTAAAGAGACAGCCTTTGTTACTCTGTGGAGCGTGGGGGCTATATGACTTCAAGGGCAACATATTTCACAGAGGGGCAGCAAGACAGATACTTTGAGGTCCATCTTATTAAATGATCACAGATTAAATAGTTCATTGCATTATCCCAGGCAAGCAGCTTATATTATAATCAATCAGCAACAATTATGAAGCAACATTACCCACTAAAACTGAAACTACCAAATGTCAAGTATATTACTTACAAATACCAATTCATTTGGTCCTAATTAGATTATGGTTGAAAATAACAGGATGCAGGTAACCTTAGAGAGGATAAAATATAAATGCATTTATAACGGCTGTCAAAAAGATCAGAAGCCGCTTCTTTATAATCTTTTCTCTTTTTTCTTTTCCTGTTTTCTTTCTTATTCACTATTCATTTTGTTTCTTTTCTAATATTTGTATTGCTTTTATTTTGTTAAAATTTCTTCAATAAAAATTATATTTAAAAAAAGAAAATAACAGGATGCATGAAAGTAAATCAACTAGTTACTATTCTGAGGTGGTAGTGGGATTAACAATTTGTTAATAAATAAGATAGATTTTTGGGAAAAAAACAGGAAGAAAATAGGAATAACTAAGAGCCTCTACAATTAAGGGTCATAATTGAAAGTCATTTGGTTTTCAATTTCTTCAGTTTGGAAACTGATTTATGTGATAATTCTTCTCATTGTGATATCAGAACGATGATAGACATTTTAATGCTAGCTTACCCCCATGTCTGTTTCAAAGAAGAAAGAAAAAAAACTAAGTATAATACAATATTTTCCTTGAAGATCCAAACACTGAAATCAAAAGGGGCAACCAAAGTGATAAGACAGCTGAAACAGTTCCCTTATAAGGAAAGATTACAATATTTGGGACTGTTCAGCTTATAAGCAAGGGGAGACACAATAAAAGTGAATAATTTCAAAGAAGGCATGGGAATTATGAACAAAGAGGTTTAACTTATGTTACAGCTTTGATAATTCATTAAGGAAACTGGGAGATTCAAGACTGACAAAAGAATATCCTTTACCCAACACATAGTTTAATTATGAAAATAGGAGCAGTAGACATGGACATCCATTTAGATCCATTGTTTAAAACAGTGTTAGGCAAATTCATAGAGGAGCATATATGGCTTCAACTGTGTTGAAGGCTGTTCACTATCTCCTGAACAACAGCAAGCTTTAACTACTAACTGTAGGGAGAAAAAGGGGAAGAGGAGTAATGCTTTACAGTTGATAGTTGTGACAAGCTTCTTGGATGATATCTGATAAACTTCTGTATGATAACATTGAACTAGACAAGCACTGGGTGTGATCCAACAAAGCTTTTGTTATTAAAACTGGTGTAATAAAACATATCACTTCTAATGCAAACTGTATTTCTACTTTTTCTTGTTGCAAACAAGCTTCTCAACACAGGTTGCTTTATTATCTTAGATGTTTGCATCAGTCTTCCCAAATTCAGTATCTTCCTGGTATTAGCTATGTCCATAAAACATACTGGTCCTGGACCACAACCGGCCAGTTATATTTTAATCCAGCATGTTGTATGAACTCAGCCCATGTGGCTACTATAGCAGTCAGTGAATAAGCTCTTCATGTAGTCATACCCATATTGGGACTACTACTTCTATATTCCCTCCAGAGTCAACAAGGCAGAATATTGAGATACTGGAGGGGGGAGACCCAGGTTCAAATCCCCACTGATCATGAAGTTCACTAGGAGATCTCCCATCAGTTTCTCTCAACCACGTGGTTGTTAGGGATACAGTTACCCCTATGTAAGCCACCTGGGGGGATTTAAACCCCACTACTACACAATATTGTGAGGTAGATTGGGGTAAGAAAAGCAACTGATCCAAAGTCATCCCAAGGAGTGCCCTGCTCATAGTCAGTGGCATTAACTAACCAATTCTGGCTGATCTCAAATCAGCTGAACAGGTTAGATTTGGTGACTACACAGTGATGGAAGACAACCAAAAATCCCAGGGCTGCAATACTGTTGAAAAAAAAGTAAAAAAAGGAAACGCCAAATCCTCCCCACGCTGCTGGCAAAAAACCCATAGATGCATCCATGAAATCACCGAGAATGGCGCTTGACTCTCGGGAAACGTTGCTTTTTTTTAAGCCACCTGGAGCTCTTAAAAAGAAAAGCAAGACATAACATGGAGAAAATAAATGAGTAACCTCGTATCAGTTTTGTAAAAGCCAGTTCATATTATTTCCCCCTCCCTGTGACCAAGCATAATTTTAGCAACGGTACGCGTCATAACGTCCTCATTGTGGGCACGACGTGGCCACTCAACCTCCCCAAAACCACTCACTGAACCCCAGCATCCCTTCTCTCACCCTCCTCCTTTCCCGACCGGAAACGCTTATGGGGCTCTTGTGCCAACGGTTGTGAGATCACAAGAGCTTCAACCAATAGAATCAGCGCTCTCCACCCCAGAGGTTCACTTTCACTACCTCCCATTGGCGGGCCTTTTCCCAACTGTCCTAATTAGCATAACACGTCTTTCCTCCTGGAACGCTGAGTCCCACGGGTTGGGACGGCTTTAACTGACGGCCACCAGCAGTGGGCGTGACCCCTTAGACCGTCGCAGCCAATAGGGAGGTAAGCCCTTTCTCTTGCGTCGCCTCTCGCTTAGGTACCGTCCCCAACCGCTCTATTTCTAAGAAAGGAAGGCGGCGCTAGGAGCGCCCCATCCAGTGAGGAAAAAGGGGCGTCAGCCACGGGGCGTGGCCTCGCGCGGCGCCTCCGCCTCTTCTCCCACTGGCGAGCGCGAGTGATGTACCTGGGCAGTGGAGGCGGCGTGGTGGCGCGCGAGGGTGCTGGAGAGAGGCGAGCGACAGAGGAAGGAAGCGGGAAGTGGGTGTCTCGGGATGAACGGGGCGGCCCGGGCGCTCTTCGACAGCAAGGAGCGCGTCCTGCTGCTGGGCGAGACTTTCGAGAAGCAGCCGCGCTGCGCCTTCCACACCTTGCGCTGTGAGTTGAAACGGGAGCTTTAGCTGGGGGCTGAAGCAGGTGGGGAAGGGGCTGCGCGGCGGGGGAGAGTTGAGGCTCGCTGGAAGAATGTGCAAGTGAGGACGGAGTTGCGGCTCACGAGCAGCGGGGGACCCTCGGCTGTTAAAGTCAACCCATAAGTCTGGCAAGGCGGGGGGAGCCTTTGGGGACTGAGACGTAGCCCTCAAAATCTGTGCCACGAGGAATGTGCATTTTTCAGGGCACATTGTTACTGCGGTTGTTGGCGTGCGAGTCTGCTTAAGATTGTACCCACGCTGACGTTTCAGAAGCCCGGAGCCTTTCGAGGGAGAAGGGACTTCTTGGTTGATGGTGTTCATTTATTTTAGATTATAAAACAAACTCAGAGAATGAGACCCATGCTGCTTTTCTGCAGGGGGATTAAGGGGAAAGGGCATGCTCAAGGGGTAATTAAGTGGCACGATTCTGATATCCAGTTAATCTTTGTGGAAAACTCTCTTGTAATAGGGGTTAAACATGCTTACATCACATGTATCAGTTTCATTCCGTGACTTCTCAGCTAATCAGTTTAAGAGGCCATCTGTTTTTAAAGGGAAGAATACTGTACTTTGAAAAACAGTTAAGGAGAATCTGGTGAAGCTAACTGGAAGGTGATCAGCTTTGAAGGAAACAAACTACGGAGGAATTGTGGCATGGCTTGGGGTGAGAAGGCTTGGGAAATAAACTGAGTTTCCAAGGTTGCCCAACAACCTTCACACCTCCCATATAAGACCAGTGCTGAATAATTGTTTATGACCATGTGAGCTTTTATAGGTGAGAGCATATTTCAGGTGCAAATATCTTGGATGTAGAACAGTGTATTTTTAACTGGGTTTTTAAAATAAAATTTGTTTATATGTGTTTCACTTACTTTTTTCTGTAGATTCCATGTTGCTTCTTTGTGCTTTTAAACATTTCAAATTCAGCTGAGAGAGGAATAAAAACCAGTTAACGACTATCCAAATCGTATTTTCTAGGCATAGTAGAGATGGACAAGACCCAATTTTTAAAACATTTGTATGCATTTTGGGGTACGTGATGAATGATAGCATATTTTGTACAATTCAGCGCAAGTTTATTTGGAAGTAGATCCTGGCATATCTATTACAACATTCATTATTAATGTTACAGAACTGCAACCTAAAGATTTATATTCACTTTAGAAAAGATCTGCTAAACTTCAGTTTAACTTGACTGGTTAAGTGCTTGCAGTATGAAAACTGGGGATAGATTATTTAAAACTTAAGCACTCTGCAGTGTCAGTAATTAACAGGACCAGTTTACAGGATCAAGGGCACACTAGACATTTTTAGGCAAAAAAAATGCAACAGGTTCCTGGGAGTAAACAAACTAGGTTTGTAACATTTTAGTCTTATGAAATACCTGGTAAGATTAAAACATTTCTTTAGCTACATTAAGGTGCACAATATTATTTAGTAAAATAAATAAAGCTGACAATGGCTTGAGATCACCTTTTCACAATTTAAAGCTCTGTATATGCATTGGATAGTAACTGTCACCATCCCTGATCAGTATACTTTTGGAGAGCCACAGGTTGGATTAGAACAGTGGAATACATATTACTCCACTGGAATACATATTACTCTAATTGTAACTCCCCTGTCATGTGGGCATGGGAATGTACATCTGGGATATTATTTGGATTTGTAACCTGAAATATATCTTTTTTCTTTCTTGAATTTTAGTTCTGTATTTTCTCTTGAATGTGACAATTAGTTGGAAATGGAGATCTGTTTAAAATTGATTGACATATGTTTGTAAGAGTGCTGCTCAGAAATGTGACCAAAAACGCACCTTCTCTGTAACAGTGCCAGCCCTCTGGAATGAGGTCCCCCCTGAGGTTTGAACACCCTCCCCTGCTGGTGTCTCAAAGGGCCCTAAAGACCTGGCTCTTCATCCAGGCCTTTGGCGAGCATGATTGTACCCACTTTTCTTCTTTTCCTTTGTTCCCATCTGGGTTATCTCTGCCGTCTTTGATCTTCTTTGTTTTATGCTGTTTTCTTGTTTTAAATGTTTTTAACAATTTATAAACAGCCCAGAGTCACTAGGAGTTGGGCAGTATATAAATTTAATAAATTATTAATTTATAATAAGTAGTGGATTATTCCTATGGGCTCTTGAATACAACTGAACAGGACAGTTAAACTAGTAGTAGAAAAGATATCTGTTGAATAATGTAGCTTTTCCATTTATCTTGTAAGTTGATCAGTATTTAAGGGATCATAAGTATTTACAATTTTATTCAGATGACTTCAAACCTGCATCAATTGATACATCTTGTGAAGGAGACCTTGAAGTTGGTAAAGGTGAACAGGTGACAGTAATGTTGCCAAATATTGAGGTAAGATTTCTGTATCCTTAACAAGGCATAGTTGTATCTGTCTTAAAACATAATTACTTTTATGTAAGTGCATGAAGAATATAATTATCAAAGTAATTAGACTATGCAGATGTACTGTTATATTAAGGGGACGGGTAGCTTCCAAGATGCTATTGAACTGCAATGGTGAAAAATTAAGTTGCAGTCTTAAAAATGGTATTTTATGTGTTTACTATGCAGATCTGTATTCTGTAACAGATACTGGTTGCATGTGAGAGCAATAACTAGCAAGAAAATGCTTGCATTCTACCAATTTAGAAAAAGTATCTGTGTAATAGCTGCAAAAAGTAATGATGGGACAATAGAACTGAAGTAGTCATATGAGAAAATAAATAATTCTGAATAGAAAATAAATAAATAAATAAATAAGGAGTCATTGTCCAGCCTCTTGCTGGTATGGAGTCCCAAATTAAAGGAACACCCAATAAGAGAGAGCCTTTCTGGTTACTTTGATTGTAAAAGTTCTATATATTTTCCTAGTGAGATGGGCGGTGACCAAATTTGAAATATAAATAAATAAATAAAAATATTTTTTACCAAATTTCTATTTTTGAATCTGGTCTTGAGATACAGAATCTATATTGATGTCTTAAAAACCAACTTTTTATTGAAATGTTCATGGTTTTTCATTTCTGATTAAATAACCATCCCCATAGTTCACAGCTTTTGCTAATGTCAAGCACAGGCAGGATATCTTCTACTCAATAATTAATTCGGTATTTTTGGAAGATTTTTTTTCCTTCTTTTCTCATGATTTACTTCTCAGTTTCTAATATATCTTTTCTCCTATTCATTCTTTACCCAAAAACAATACCATACTTTATTATCCTTATTTTTTTGAAGTCTGTCTACATTTCTCAGTTGTACAAACGAGCTTCTCCTGTTTTTTTCATCACAATAAGCCAGAGACCTTCAACTTTCAGATATTCTGATTAAGCAAACGTGCTGCTGTAAACTCTGCAATGCTCCCACTTCTTGTTCCTACCAGTCAGAACCTAAAAAAACAGACAGCTTTGTATTACCTAATTCCCTTGGCTTGTTCCTCTTCGGACGAGCCAGAGTCATAAGTCTTGCTTATGTTTTTGCTTGTTAAGTATGGAGTTTTATTATTTATTATTTATCATATTTATTTAGCCGCCCATCTCACACAAGGTGTCTCTGGGCGGCATACAACAATTAAAAAATAAATACATAAAAAACTATTTATAAAAAGCAGTAAAAACACACAAAAACAGGAGGGGAAACAGGAGTTTCCTGGTTTGTTTAGCTACTCCTGTTAGGAGGAGCCAAGTGGGGATGACCAGTCAGCAGGCAAAACTTGATATGATTTGTGTTTCTTGTGATGTATGAAGTGGGCTGAGATTGATTTACTGAAGGACATATAATGGTTCTTTTGATGAGAGGGATTCATCTTCAATTCTGTTAAGATATCAAAATATTTTCAGTAAATAACCAGTAAGTAGAAAACCCAAATAGTTATTCTTCTGTGATAGGAAAGGACTGGAAAATTGCTGTATGTAACCTTGGAGCAAACTAGTATTATTTCCAAAAGTTGCTTGTTGCACTGCAATTTTGATAGGAATTTCAACTGTAAAAGAGAAAGGAAAGGGAATAATTCAATTCATGGCAGTAATGGCTTGCAGTTGCTGATGCCAACATAAACTTGCTTTTTTTACTGCTTCATAACCAGGGAGGTATGTTAATTAAGGAGATGGAATGAAATTCTTTGTAGTTATAGGATAAACAAAGGCAACGAATTAACTGAGCTGGGCTGGACTGAATTCAATGTTCTGTGAAGAACCCTGAAAATGGAGATACCTTTATTTAAACGATTTCATTATGAGATATGAATCCTGCAAAATTGGCTTCCCTTTTTCATTTTACAGTGAAGTAGACACTCTTGAGGCTAAGTGTGAAATGTAAGGGCTTTTAATTATAAAATACACAGCTCTGCCCTAAGAGGAAAAAACAGTGGTGATACTAGTAATTCTTTTCTGATTTAAAATAGGGCTCTACTCCACCAGTAACAGTTTTCAAGGGTTCCAAGAAGCCATATCAAAAAGAATGCATCTTAATAATTAACCATGACACTGGTGAATGTAGACTAGAGAAACTTAGTAGCAATATCACTGTGAAGAAAACCAGGTGGGTATAAAAATTAACAAAGTTGTTTCTTCTTAAAATGTTGTAGTCGCTTTGGGAAGAAGTTCAGACGAGCCTCGGCCTCAGACATGCTCTCTTCCCTCATCATTTTCCAGCATGAAAATGAAGTGTAGAAACTGTCACTTCTGCTTCTGACTTTAATACTAACCACAGCTTGCAGTTCAGATGTAGATGTAAACTATGATTAATTGAAACTGAAACCAGCAGTTTTCAGTTTATTCCTTACTGCTATGCCAGGACAGCTTCAAAGCTCTTCTAGTTTTCTTTCCGTTACAGTGAACTGTGTGTTTCTCCGTATCACCTATATAGTGACTATTGAAATGTACACCTGTGTAAGATGTTTAGTTAGGAAGATTTTAACAAGGCCCTGGATGGGAATCTTTCTTCTGTACCTGTTCTACTCTATTTGCTCTCTGGCAGCTCCTATGTGCTTTCTTTAACCCCATTCTGAGGCATGCTATATCTCTTTAAAACTGTGCACTGGGATAAGCTTAACCATTTTCCTGTAGATAAGCAAGTTTAAACTTGTTTATTTTAATAAAAACCTCAGCATGCTTTCATGAAATAACTAGTTGATAAACTGTGTTATGGTAGGAGCTATTATATTCATACATGTCTCAAAAATACACCTACTAAAAAACTGTAGAAAAAACAATTACATACTTTTCAAGAATGATTGTTTTTTTAATGATCTGATGCAGAGGTGAAGGAAGCAGCAAGGTGCAGTCTCGTATTGAGCAGCAGCAGCAGCTAATGAAACATGCTAATAAGATGCCAAACAGCAACAAATCTTCTCCACCAAAAGAAAAGATGTCTCCACCTTATCCCATGGATGATATTGAAAGAGGTAATTTATAGCTATATTCCTGGAGATGCTGATTCTGTGGAGTGTTAAACTGACTCTGTAATTAGAAGATTTTGAGAACTAAGTCACGAATTTCAGTCTCATCAAGAATGTAAGTTGGTCAGGAATACACAGCTTCAGATTCAGGTGGGAGTCATATGGTCACATATTCATAACACATATCCTGCCTGTATGTGGCAAAATATATAATGTGGGAAGGTTTTTAATCTAGCTTTTCACTCAGTTTGCTGGCTTGCAATGTTTATCTGCGTGTAGAGGAGGGCATTATATAACTATATAAATTCATACCCATATATTGAAGTAGTAGAACCCAGATGTATTGCCTTTTAAACTGATCTTGTCTTGACCAAGTAATTTAAAAAATGGTAAAGATTCCCTTGAGTTAAGTTCAGTTACAGATGACTACGTAGGTTTCTCCATGTAGTTTTCCTGGTAGCCTTATGGAAATGGTTTCCCATTGACTTTTTCAGAATTTTTTTTTTCTTATTTCCCTAGTCTACAGTACCAGGATTTCCTACTGAGTATCCAGGAACTAACCAGGTCTGATCCTGCCTAGCCTTTTCAGGATCTTCAGGGTCATCTAGGTGCTGCACAATATAGAACATATTCTTGTAAATAGGCCATGTAATTGGGGTTTGTTTCTGCTTTGCCAATCCCTTTTATGAGCAAAGATTTGGCTGATACAACCTTTCGTAGACTTCAGAGGAGACCCCCTGTATCCTCCATCAGCTGGCTTGTTTTTTGAGTGCATAGTAAAACATTTTGCCTCTTGCATATCTAGCATAGAAATACAATGGATCAGGAATGGTGAAAGCCATGGAGTTTACCACTGCCCCATCTGATTTCCATGTTTGCTGTGCATAAGAGATTTCACTCTTTTGCATCCAGCATAGAAAAACAATGAACTAAGTAGTTCCATTGGCTCTCCTTTTTTTCTGGCTATAATACAGGTAGTCCTCACTTAATGACTGTTCATTTAACGACAGTCCAAAGTTATGACAACCTCAGAAAAAGTGCTTTGCAACCTGTATTCGCGCTTACGACCGTCGCAAACCGCCACACCACACCTGCAGTTACATGATTGTGATTTACGACCTTTTTTTACAATAGCCATTAAGCTAATTGCTGCAGTCATTAAGTGAATCACGTGGTCATTAAGTGAATTCTGGCAAAAAATCCATTCGAGGCTGGATTTGCTTAACAATCATGTGATTCACTTAATGACTGCAGTGATTTGCTTACTGGCCATTTTAAAAATGGTCATAAAATCAGGTCCAGTCATGTGGTGACTCAATGACCTCCCTGCTTAACGACCAATTTTCTGGTCCCTACTGTGGTTGTTAAGTGAAGACTACCTGTAATAAAAAAAAAAGATTCACTTCCTCTGAGCTAGCATGAAAACCAAGCAAGTTGACAGATGAGGGGAAAAAAATCTATCCCTCTTCTGCAAGACTGCTGCATTTTCATGCTGGTTAGAAAGAAAGCAGCTTCACTTCAGCAATGAAGTGTTGGCTGAAAACAACAGAACAACTTACTCCTCTTCTGTCAACTTGATTACTTACCATTATGAAATTCCACGAACTTCTGTCGGTCTACCTACCTGCATGCCACTTGAATCACCAGAATAATTCTAGGTGGTTTTCTGCAGTATTTCTGGGTATGATCAGGTGAGTAGCTAAACAAAAGTTTGAAGTAGGTAATACCTTTACAGTGCTTTAGATTTGATATTGTTACTTATACTTGATAGAAAATTATTATGAAAAAAACTTTGAAAGCATCTCTTGCCCATATTTAGCTGTTATTCAGGCATATTTACCTACTGGTCATCTAACCTCTAGATGAATTCACTGAAGTAAAAACTGCTCCATCATCTGAACTGGAGTGCCCA